TAAAAAGAAAGCTGAGCGTCCCCTGAGATTGTAAAGCCTATTTCTCAAAAAATAAAATTAGGGTCGAACATGGAATTTTGAAAATAAATTCTCGGATTGGTTAGACAAATTTTTTTGTTAGATAAGTTCAGACCTGAAAAAATAGCGGTGTCAATTACTAAAAAAAATTAAAAACATGTTCTGGTTCCAAACTTTTAAAATTTTAAAATAAAAATAAACCTGACATAAGATTTTGAACAAGATAACACATAAAAGGTTGGTCCTTTAACATTGAAACCTATTCGGATTCGTGTTTTATCTTGAGACGTGGTTACCACCCTTTAATGTGTGTCTCCACGTGACATTTTAATAGACGGTTCAATGTAACATTAGTATTTTAGAATGAAATATTATTCATTATATTTTTTTTTATTGTAGGACATACCTGGATCTTCCAAGAACACTTCCGAAAAAAAGGGTTAATTCTATACTTTAATATTCAGTTTGCATCGTTTCGTCTTCTTTTCCTTCCTTTCTATTTTTTAAATCGGAGTCGACGAACCTATGTTTTAACTGATTAATATGTCTTCTCCATACCCCTAATTTAGTTTCAGCTAAAAACGTCATTGGTCCTGTTCTTTTAACGATGATACCTGGTATCCAATTATCTTTTTTAAAATCTTTTGCATATATTTTCTCATTTATATTAAAAATACCTGGTAACTGGGGTATATGTGGATGAGGATAAATTGGTTTTATTAATTGACAAGTTTTATAATATTTAATATAAATATTATAATAATACTAGTAGATAGCCCTTCAAAAATGACGGGGAATAAGAATTTTCTTTGTTCTTTTACGACAAATGTTACCTTTTATTTAAATATCCAATTTTTATTCTTTTTGCCCCCCTCCCCCTTCAAGCCAATTCCAACCCATTAAGACTAAGAGTGATATTTTGTGAGTCAAAATATATTTAAATTAGCTTGTACTTGAGACCCATATTAATTCTTTGTTAAAATATTACTGATTACCTATGGCTAAAATTATATATTAAAATCTTTCCAAGCGTTCAAGACCTTAATAATTTTGAAAAATATTTCCCAAGCCCACCCCAAAATATACCTGATAATGGAATAACCAGAAATTTTTCTATCTTATGAGATGTGATTCAGAAATTTATATTTATTTAGATAAGGGGTTATCTAAAACATTTTAAAAAAAATAAAACTAATAAATTTAGTAAAATATAAGCTATAGACTTGGATGCTGAATTATAAAAAATTCAATTCTTTAATGCGTAATTTAATTGGCAGGAAAACAATAATTTGATCGATCTGTGGGTGTTAGGTAGTGTTAACCATCACCCAATATTATATTGATCATAACTATAATATAATATAATCATATAACCATTAAATAATGTATAAATTTTTATAAAAAATATTAAGGCCCGGCCCGGGTTCAACAATCTTAGGCCCGGCCCGTATATATTAAAAAAAAACAATAGAATTTTTAAAAAATTACTCATCCAATAAAAATCATAACATATAAATTAGTTATTGATTATAGTCAAATATATTTTTGTTATTGAATCATTTAATAATCTATTTCTTTTTTAATTATTGGAAATTCGTCCTACTGAAATTGGGAGTGATTCTTAATTAGATTTACCTAATATTAACACAATTTGAACAATTTAAGTTATGTTAAATTATAAATATTTAAATTATTTAGCGCCATCTATCATATTAATATTTATTTTAAATAGCATTATATTTATAAGGGAAAATGTAAATGTTTTAGGTTATAAATTATAAATATAAATGAATAAAAATTTAATATTTTGAAAGTTTTTTATTGTGCACATAAATTAAAATAACTAAATATATACTTTATAAACATATTTTATAAAAATAATGGAAAATTTTAGAGAAACCCTCATCTAAATAAATATAAATTTCTGAATGACATCTCATAAGATAGGAAAATTTCTGGTTGATCCATTGTCAGGTATATTTTGGGGTGTGCTTGGGAAATATTTTTCAAAATTATTAAGGTCTTGGACGCTTGGAAATATTTTAATATATAATATTAGCCATATGTAATCAGGAATATTTTAACAAAGAATTTTAATATGGGTCTCAAGTATAAGCTAATCTTTTCCGACTTTAAAAAATTATCGTAAATATCAGGATAAAAATAAGTGTTTTTCAATTCTCTACTATTTTCTGCCTCACTTGATATTAACATTTACTAAACAACGAACAAATTTCGTAAAACCATGTTTTATTATATATTAATCTCCATACCCCATATCTGGCAACCATTTTGGCCATACTCTAACCTAGTCCAAGAAGTTGGTTTCAAAAAATGTAAGTAAGAACCTTTTTACTTTTTATAGAAATTTTTCTTTGCAACTTTACCCCTGCCAGAAATTCTTAAAATTATAGCAAAAAAAAACCAGATGATTTATTCCATTTCTCGTATTTTTTTGATTTCTTTTCAAAATCTATTCAAATATGCGACACAAATTATTAAATTTAAATGTTTGTAGATTTAGAAATCCGAGGGCCTGAATAATAGGAAAAAAATTATAATTGGGCCGAGTTGGGCCAATTTCTTCTTAAAAGTTATTAAGTTCTAGATAGAAATCCAAAAAAAAATACAAATTCTTTTATCAGTAAGTCGTAAACTCATCATCCTAGCAACTAGAGCGCGCAAAGGGGATAGCTTAGAAGGACAGATTCTAAGAAACCTGCAGGCCCGGTCCTGGGACACGGGTTCGGACTGTATTTTAATTATTCTAATATACCAGGGCCGGGGTTGCTTTGCAGATCTCTGGCATATACATTTACACTTTAATTAGTATTTCCCTAAGCTTTCTCTTAAATTAAATCCACGTTTATAAAAAAATAAATAACATTGTATTTTAGGTCTACTTACATTTAAAGTGAATAAAAAATAAATTAACTTATACCCCTCTTCTCAATTTCCCAATCAAGGTATAAAAGCAAATTTATAATTTTAATTTTTCAAAATAATAACAGTGTAACAAACAATAAATTTTCCGTCAACTCATTTAAATTTAATGTCAAATTCAATGAAAGAAAACACCTTTTATTATAAAAAAATTTGTAAATTACGAAAATTTTCTTTTCCGCTATTTAATAAAATAAACTACTGGCATGGTAATAATTATTAAGTGATGATTCTTCATTTTAAAAGGAGGAAATGGATTTTGGAGAGATAAATGACTTTTATGAAGTGTTTTTCCAAATTAATTTAACAAGTTTTGATATATTTTATTTTAATTTATTTTTAACCCCGATTTTGTAAATTTATAATAATCATTGTCTATTAGATTTAAAAAAAATATTTTATTTTTCATTGTTTCATATGTTTGACTTAATTGTTTAATTAATTCTATTCTCAATGTAATGAGAAATTTTTTAATTAGCCTTTTTAAAAATATAACAACGCGTGATTGGTGTTGTTAAAAGTTTATTTGAGCCAATATTTAAAAACGGCCTACTCAATATTTTATCCAGAAAATGGCACATAGGATTGGACATCTATTGGCAAATTCTCAACGCTTAGGCAATATTTTCCTGCTTATAAAGCCATTTAACAACACTACGCGTGATAAATATTATATAAAAATTATGTCTTGCCACCTCCTTCTCTTAGGATTTTCTGTTACGACTCTGATTGCTCAAAATCTTACGACTCCCTTATTACAAGAAACAAACATTTCTTTTTATGATATCTGTAATTTTAACAATTTTTTTAATTATAATTAAAATAATCTCTATTTAAAATAAAGATGAAGTGCTTTAAGAGTATAGCAAATCCCTTATTTGAGACTTGATTTGTGTCTTCTTATTTCCATTGGATAAAAATTGGAATCCCTTTAACAAAAAAAATGAAGAAGATATAAATATATTCTCGAATTTTTCCATCTACAAATGGACATTCTAATCCTTATATACTTATCATATTACGAGGTAAAATCATTAGTTTTCAAACGAAGCGAGAACTTTCTCGCTCTACGATAGAAAGTTCTGATGATTTTACTTTATATTTATATAAAACGCTACAAAATCAATTGTTAATGCCTAGATAAAAAAAGTTACCATCATTTTAAAGAATTTTGAAATATGCCAAAAAGAAAAAGAGCTAACAATGTAGCATAAATACGCGTGCTTCTTTCTTGAAATCAATAATTTTAATAAATGGAGGAAACTTAAAAGCAATAATGGACATAAAAATAATCGGAAGATTCATAATCGTTTTAGTCTTTCTTCAGTCAAATACTGGACTAGCCATATTATGTCATATAATCTACCTTTTGCTATTTAAAAATAGTTGATAGATCTCTGCATACTATTATATTTGGTAATTTGTAGTCATTCTTAAAGAAAACCATTAAATGAAACAAGTTATGGTTTTAGTTTTTATTATTAAATAAATTTTATTTCTACTTTAAAAATATAAAATAATAATGATCATATGTATAATAATCGTCTGGTATATATACTAAAACATTTCAATCAAAACATTTAAGTTAATACTCAATAAATTATTTTACAAATTTGAATAAACACAATATGTAACAAAACATTTAAATTAATAGTCAATAACAAATTTGAATAAACACAATATGTAACATTAATACTCAATTAATTATTTTACAAAAACAACACTATTAACAATTCTACTTCCGGCTAAACCTAATTTTAACTAAAACTCTTACCTAAACCTAATTTTTTTTAAGAAATATAGCTCAACTTTGAAGAAATTATAAATAAATTAAACTGAAGCCTCAATGATTAGGAATTGTTTTAGGCATATACTTGCATGCATAGCAGAATCTGCCAATTTTTCATCATTACATAGCAATACTGCCTACATTATAAAAAAAGTTTTTAAAAATTATTGTTATTCAATATATTTTTATTATTATATTTAATGCAGGTAAATGGAAAAAGGGAACATATCTATAAAAAATATTTGACAAAATTCACAATTAATATAATATATATTTAATAAATTTAAATGGTTTAAAAAAAATTTGATTTTATATTATAAATTTAAAATTTTGAGATATATGAAATATTTTATAAATAAATATAAAATCTTGGTTTAAGCTTGACTCTCGCAAGAAAAATAAATAATAAAAAGATCTTTTGGGCAAATGGGCTTAAAAAGGGATTTTAAAAAAAAGTCCCATTAACTCCTTGTCAAGTATATAAATTTTTTGAAAAACGTATGATATACAAATTCTTAAAAATTTTATATGGGTTTTAAATATAGGGAGACATCTAATCTTCTAAATATCATATTGGTGCAGGACGGAGTTTAATATAATAAATGCCAAATATAAAATTTACATATGAAAAGTATATTATGCACAAGTTTTGGTTTAAATTAATGTGATGTTTAACATTAAAAAATAAAATAAAAATGTTTGAATTTTATGATCAAAAATGACCATCATCATCATCATAATCTTTATTATCGACCAGGTAATTTTCCATTAATTCGAGGACCCTAAGCCCGCTGCCGTAGGACATACTAACACCGTTTCCGCCATGTCCGTAATTGTGTATAACTATCGTGCGAGATTCGGCTAAATATTGAGGAAAATCGAAATTGCCAGCTAAACATTTTAGCGGTTCCAGTTCAATTCTGGGCGAAGAAGTGTGTAAGGTTTCTTTTCTGTAAGGTCTGAGGCCTGCCCATTCAGTCAAAATTGGGGCTAACTGGTTAATATATATATATAATATATGATGTGGCATTATAAATATATATTTTACCTTTTTTTGTTACAGTTTGTTTTTTAGAAATCAGTTTTTAACTTATTTGATATCTTTTAAAAAAAATTCATTACCCTCTTTTCCACTTCCATTATAAAACATAAACAAAATTAATTCCCAATAATCAAGGATTTTTTAAGATAACTAGGCCCGGGTTAAATAATATTAAAAACCGTCGAGTCGAATTAGAAAAATGACCAAAGTTTAAAAACTGGAGCCGGGTGGAATCAAAAATGACTATTTTTTATTAATCTGAGCCGATCCTCTGATCATGTGTTCAATTCATTCACGTTAACATAAATATACTTAGTATCATATCATAATATATTTTCCATGTAGAACTTTTTATTATAACATATTATTTAGCTCAAAACTGATTTTTTGTATATTTTATGAAGTGTCCTTTACTTCTTTCTTTCTGATATTATTATTGTGTATAGAAAATATTTTCTTACTTTATTAATTTTTCTTTTTTTTATTTTGTTATATGTAAAAACCTTAAAATAATTCTTCTTTTCTTAAGGATTTAGTATATATAATAAAAATATGAAAATTAACATAAAAATTATTTTAAAAAAAATAAAATAAAACCTTATTCTATAAAAACGGAGGTGGGACTACAAGTTCCCAAAAAACATAATTTGTATTATTGATCTGCATCTACAAGACCAACCCGGCCCGAAATTTTTTTTATAAAGTTTTAACCGACCCGGCCCGTATTTAAATATAAAAATTAATTTTATAATTACTCAAAATAAACAAACGATATATGTTATTGTGGCGTCTACTTTCTATAAATAAAAATCACATATTTTTAGTTTACATAAAAAATTCAACATAAAATTGATAAATTTTCGGGCAGTGCCGGAATCCGGCCGGGTACGGGTCGAGCCTACTTTTGCAGATCTCTAATTTGTATATTATTATTTAAGTTGTGATGTAAGGGCTCTTTATCTTGCTACCTATATTTTTTTTAAAAATTATAATATAAAAAATTTATATATATAGGAATATGTCAACTATAAGAGCTATATATTTGTTATTAAATTAAATAAGAAAATAGAAATTGAATTTTTTTGATCTCTGCATTCATCGTAGTTTTCGTATATATAATTAATGTTTCATTTTAAATATTCAGGTTTTAAATAAGCAGTTTCATCTTTTAACGATACATTTGTTAAATAATATGATGATTAAGAAAGTATGGAAGATTATAAAAATTAAAAAACTGATTTTAAATCTTTTTCAATTTATAAAAGTTAAAAAAAATAATATTGTTTCCGCTAGATGGTGTCTTTAAATATTTTTAATTTTTTTTAATGATTAAAATCATATTAAAATTGTGTTTAATAAATTTTAATTTTTATTAATCAGATAAATTAATGACGATAAGTAGTTCGTTTTATTGATGCATAAATTATAAATCATAATTATTTTTACCAAATTGATAAATATTATTATTAATATAATTATTGCGTTCATATAAAATATAATTTGTTCGGCAGAGAAAATTTAAATATATAATTTAATCGATGAAAAATATTCAGTATTCTAGAAATATAAGAAATGAGCAAGGGGAAAAATTTGGAAAAAATAATTAAAATTTATAATAAAAACTTTCTGCTTAATTCCAAGTCGATGTGGTTTTTTGAGACTTTTGGTTTTTAAAATGGACAAAGTTTTATCTAATGAATGTAATTTATCTTTGCTTCGACTACTAAGTAAATTATTTAGTGTATCATGGCAGTCTATCTATTTGGATATTAAATTATATTCATTATTAAAAAATATTATCTTTCAAATTTTTTTTCTTGTAACATATGTGATATCTTTAATTTTTTTAGATTAATAGGGCGTAGTTTCCAGTTTACGTATGATTTTAAAACGTGATTCATAGATTGGCAGTTGTGATTTGTCCATAAACATTTTATTATTTTATTTTTTTTAGGGGAATTTTAAACATGTTCATAAATTACTTTTTGATATTGACGTTTTTATATATGGTAAAAAAAATATTCCTACATTATGTTGACTAATTCAAAATTACTGGACTTTGAAGAATGTCATGTACAAGTAACATTAATTCCTTAGAATACTGGCATGGAGATCACGGTTCCTACCAAGGCCACGATATTGAATCTTAAAAATTCCCGACAAAGAAAATTCGTGCATGGCCAGCCAAGGAACGACGATGTTTTAGGTGTCAGTCGGAGGTATACTTGATCGGACAGTCAAATCCCCAAGAAGGAAGAGGGCAACCAAGTAACTCTGAATCACATGAAGCAGATAATAATAAATCTTTGTAGGCGATAGTTCCCCTTGTTACTAAGATCAGTACTCATCTAATGATCCGTCAAATCTTTTCCCTCCTCTTTGTCCTTTCGCACTAACATGGCAGGCGAGCAGCTAACTTGGGATCAATAATCCTAGTGAACGGATCAATCTCGGGAATTTTATTCGTGTTTCTCTCCATATCCGCCGGATAATTAGGTTTAATGGGCGCAGTACTTCATGGGTGAATGTTGCACTGACCAATCATGTGTACCTCCGACTGACACCTAAAACATGGTCATTCCTTGGGCGCCGTCGCTATAATTTTCTTTCTGGTAGCCTTGGTATGATCCTTGATCTCCATTTCGTATTTTAGGGAATTAATGTCACTTGTTATGACATCCCTCAAAGTCCAGTAATTCCAAATTAATCAGCATGATAAATGAATGTTTTAAAAATTAAACGATTTTGCATAATTATCCTAATAATGAAAAATTAAATATATTTTTGCCATATATAAAAAATTAAATTTCATAAAAGTAATTTTATGAACATTTTTTTACATTCCCCTATAAAAAATAAAAATGTTTGTGTACAAATAACAACTGCGAATCAATCATGTTTTAAAATCATATGTAAACTGGAAACAACGTCCTTTAAAAGAATTAATCTAAAAAAAAATTAAAAACATCGCAAAGTTACAAGAAAAAGAATTTGGAAGTTTTTCTCTGGAAAAGGAGAATATTTTTTAAAATAATGAATAACGCCATTATTTAATACCCGAGTTGATAGAGTGTCATGATACTTTAAATAATTTACTTAATAGTCACGAGTAGTGTTGTTAAACGGCTAATTCAATATTTCATCCAGAAAAATATTATGCAAGCCTGAAGATTTTGTTCATAGAAGGAACAAAGGTTTAGACACATATGTTCAAAATCTGGAGGCTTAGGCAATATTTTTCTGGCTAAAATATTGAGTTAGCCGTTTTGAACGTTTAACAAAACTAGTCACAAGTAAAAAGCGATAATCTGGTAGATTAAGAAACAAGAATGTTAACTTATTATTTTTCTCCCTATCCTAACCGGTAAGATAAGGCTATTAATTTTCAGAAAAAAAGAGAAAATTAAAACTTCTTAGACTTTCACTTCTAGCCAGAAAAATATCATGGACTGAATTGCTCTCACGATGAGTGTTTTTTTTTCACTCGGTGGACTTACTTCGAATTCTAGAAAATTCTTCCAACGCCCCCACAAAATGTAAACAAAGATATAATTTTTAGATTTTACAAAGCTGAGAATATTTATTAATTCATGAAAACAAATCATTTTTCATTTTAATGTAATAGTTCTCACAAATTTAGAGTTTGTTGAGATTTACAATGCGAATCGAAAGAAATGAAAACGTATAGGCAACCGTGTTTAATAATATAGGAATCGCAAACTTATTTGCGATTTTTAATATAATGTTTGATGCGATACTCAGGCGGAAGATCCAAATGGAATAGATAAGGAAACTGAGGTGGGGGAATATCAGAGATAAAAAGAGATAGATCATGAATAATAAAGTGGAGAAAGAGAGCTTAACACCAAAATAAAGTTGAAAGCTTAAGAGAAACAAAAAAAAGTTTTACGCAAATATAATGGTACCCATTCTGAAAAATATCATTTGAAAGTTCATTATTCGTAATTCAAAATCGTGTGATTTGAATCGAATATAAGGGCGAGAAAGTTAAATTGTATAAGGAACAAAAAGGATGAGTAATTTGTTTTCAAAGAGTTATAAAAAAATTACATTTTGGCGAAATCATTTATTAATAGAGACCCACGAAGCCAAATTAGAAAGAAGAGAGGTGGGGATGATTAGATGAATGTGTGGGGTACCTCTGAAAGAGAGAAAAAAACTAGCAAGGAATTACGTGCAAGAATGGGAATAGAAGTGATTGGAGTGGCAAAGTGACAAAATAGACTAAGGTTATTTGGGCATGTGGAACGTATGACAAAAGATGACTGGAAGAGATGCACCTTGATGGAAGTAGGAGGATCAAGACCTAGTGGGAGGCCCAAGATGACGCGGACAAATGGTATACCGGCGGATATGAGAAACATGAATCTTACAAATATTAATGCTAAGGACCGTCAAAAACAAAAGAAAAATCAGAGGGAAAAATGGCCCACCTGGGTAACGGTAAACCTGGAAATCGGCATAAAACGAAGAAGAATTAAATTTAATGATTTAACATTTACTTTTATATTAAAGTAAAATAAATATATTTTTGTTGTAGGAGAGAATTTTGTCTTTTCGTAACGCTGAGAAGACTCTGGTGTAGCAATGGCTTGCCTACGCTTTCTGCAAATATTAGATTCTTTCACAACAATTATGATTAAATTAAATATTTTTGTAATTAGAAGGTGATAAAAACTACAGTTTTATGATTGGCTAAACAAATCGACCTTCTTGATTTCATATTGCGAACATAAATACTTTTATATTTAACAAAAGTCAATATTTTGCGATCAAAGAAATAATTATTATTAAAATATTGAGCCAGATGGAGTTAGAAAAGTCTGCATTTTATTATATAAAGAACATTAAAAATTAATTTTATGACGTTTTTTTGAAAGAGAATAATATTTTTATCATAACTTAATTTAGAGCAGTTAGAACTCTATAATAATCAATCTGCAATATATAATATTATTTAAATAAAAATTCTAGTATGCAAAAATAATGTTAAGTGATTCTAGATGGCGCCAAATTTCTTATAATGATTATTCAAGTCTATTTTTTGGGCAAAAATTAAAATCGCGCGAATTAGTGGAAAAAAATGATATTTTTGCAAAATAAAGATGGCCTTTATTTTAAATTTAGTTGATTCGCGCAATTTTAAGGTTCGGTTCGCAATAAGATATTTTTTATCTTTTATGTTCCGTATAATTAAGGTATAAATTTTTAGGTAAATATCAGAGTTGTTAAAGGATCTAGATACAAGTATCTAGATATAAAAATGTGGTATCTGTATCTAGATAGATTTTTGATCAAAATATCTGTACCTAGATATTATTTTAGACGATGTATCTGTATCTAGATCCATTTAAAAGGTATCTTTTAACAACTCTGGTAAATATATTTGGGTAAGAATATTTAATGAGTTTGAAATTTTATAATTAAAAATAAATACTTTAACGCTCGGAACTAATCCAGCACACCTCTGCATAATGGCTTCGGAATCTTCTGGGCACACGGTATCATCGCTCACGCCTTCGTCACGCGTTGCGCCTAACACTACGGTTTGAGTCCTTAAATATATCGAATACCATTATTAAGTAAATTATTCTGAGGCCATTTTAATTCATCCCAATAAAGCTACCAAAGAAAAAGCTTTGCTTATTGCAGAATGCGTGTTCTGTGATTATCATATTAATTAAACTGTTTAACTGAGAGCCATAGTTAATTTTTGCTATGACATAAATCAAACAAACTCTTTCCATAAAAATTAGTTACTTTATATCGTCTCTTAATATTATTTGGAAAATATTAGGTTTCTAGCAATTAAAAGACTAAATTAAGGTAATAATTTGAATGTATTTTTCAGGAGGAATTGCACAATTATATGAATTTGATTATAAAAAAGTATTTATAGGTATAAAATGATTTAGATTAGACTAAAAGTTATTTTTACGAGTAGAAAAAATAAATAATTTATTATTATCATTACAAATTAAAAAATTATTATTAGTTATTGTGACTTTATGTTCCTCAAGCAATGCTATATCAGCATTTGTGCGAGGTAAAAATGGCCGCGTCGATTGAATAACGCGTGCCATGATTGTTTTTACCGACAAAAATGTTGGTAAGGTTTTAGGATGTCGCATCGCAAAGGAATCTAATTTCCTTTCGCGCCTAACCTTTTTATATATTTTATGTAAGCTTAAATATTTATTTAATATTGTTTGATTTTTTACTTCATTTAATGTAAGTAAAAGTTCATAATACTCTTCATCATTATCATGATTATGTTGCTTAGTCATCATAAAATGAGTACCTTATATACCCCTTCCCTTACAACTTTGTAAACGACATTTATAAAAAAATCCTCTATTGCGATGATATAAATATTTATTTGAATAGATTAAATTATTATTAAATTTAGATTTTATAAATTTATACGAATAATCTTCAATGCCTATAAAAGATAATTTCCAGATAAAATTAGTAGCATATTTTAAATTTACTTTAGTTGGTTGGAGGGATCATATTATTTGATGCTAAGAATAAAATTTCCAAGTTAATAAGATGGCATATTTTAAATTTACTTTGGTTGGTTGGAGGGATCATATTATTTGATGCTAAGAATAAAATTTCCAGGCTAACAAGATAGCATATTAGTAATATATTATATAATTTACCTTGGTTGGTTATGGTCTCAAATGTTGCTGGAGAAAATATTTCAGATAAAATTTTAAAATAAAGTTAGAATTATATTTTACTTTGAGTGGCTACTGATATACTATCTACATTTATGGGATCAGCTATAAAATAAATTTTTATAAATTATAAAATTAGAATTATATTTTACTTTGTGTGGCTATAGATTTAACTTGTGTTATTTCTAAGCAGGAAGGAGCTATAATATAATTATTTTATATAAGATTAACAAAAAATATATCTGCACACTGTTTAGATTTTTGGAAGGTATTATTTTTAAATATCCCTTTCCCTGCACATGATGGCCTGGTGCATTTGTAATACATAGTAGTATTACGTATCGTACCGCCTTTACTATTTTTCAGCCATAATTAGGGATTTTTTCGCATGACTTTTTGCTAAATTTTGCTTAAGCTTAAAATTTGTATGCTCAATTTAACAAGCTGATTGCTCAATATATACTTTTACTTTATAAATATTACCTTATATTAGAAAATATGATAGTTATAATACTACTATGTATTACAAATGCACCAGGCCATCATGTGCAGGGAAAGGGATATTTAAAAATAATACCTACCAAAAATCTAAACAGTGTACAGATATATTTTTTGTTAATCTTATATAAAATAATTATATTATAGCTCCTGCCTGCTTAGAAATAACACAAGTTAAATCTATAGCCACACAAAGTAAAATATAATTCTAACTTTATTTTAAAATTTTATCTGAAATATTTTCTCCAGCAACATTTGAGACCATAACCAACCAAGGTAAATTATATAATATATTACTAATATGCTATCTTGTTAGCCTGGAAATTTTATTCTTAGCATCAAATAATATGATCCCTCCAACCAACCAAAGTAAATTTAAAATATGCTACTAATTTTATCTGGAAATTATCTTTTATAGGTATTGAAGATTATTCGTATAAATTTATAAAATCTAAATTTAATAATAATTTAATCTATTCAAATAAATATTTATATCATCGCAATAGAGGATTTTTTTATAAATGTCGTTTACAAAGTTGTAAGGGAAGGGGTATATTAGGTACTCATTTTATGATGACTAAGCAACATAATCATGATAATGATGAAGAGTATTATGAACTTTTACTTACATTAAATGAAGTAAAAAATCAAACAATATTAAATAAATATTTAAGCTTACATAAAATATATAAAAAGGTTAGGCGCGAAAGGAAATTAGATTCCTTTGCGATGCGACATCCTAAAACCTTACCGACATTTTTGTCGGTAAAAACAATCATGGCACGCGTTATTCAATCGACGCGGCCATTTTTACCTCGCACAAATGCTGATATAGCATTGCTTGAGGAACATAAAGTCACAATAACTAATAATAATTTTTTAATTTGTAATGATAATAATAAATTATTTATTTTTTCTACTCGTATACTTTTATCTCGCCTTTGTTTGGCAAATAAAATATATCTAGATGGCAAGTTTAATGCCGCCCCTAAACTATTTAAACAATTTTACACTATAAATATTATTATAAATAATACATTAATTATCTGTGCGTATATTCTTTTACCAGATAAATATAAAAATACATATATTCGAATGTTTTATTTATTAAAAAATTATTGCTTATCATTAGGTTTAATTTTTTCGCCACCAAGTGCAATAATAGATTTTGAAAATGGCGTATTTTTAGCCCTAAAGGAAATTTTTCTAAGAATTATTGTAAAGGGTTGCTATTTCCATTTCTGTCAATGCATCGTAAGACGCATTCAAGAATATCGCCTGACCCAACTACACAGGGGCCATTCCACGTCAAATCGATCACGATTCGACTGACCCCTTTTAAAATTGTTAAAAAAATTTCGAATTATTTAGAAGGGTACATAAATGAGAAAGCCGTTTATTTTAGCTCTCTAGCACACATGGTTCTCGAGATATAGGGGCTCATAGGTACAAAAAAGAGCCACTTTGGAATCTGTAAAATTTTTAAAAAGCTTATATCTCAAGAACTATTTATAGTAAAAAGATATATAATATATCATATTGTAGGTAAAAAAAATCTCTAAAAAGGCTATCAAAAAATAATAAAAATTGGCGCCAATTTGAATCTTTAACTTCCGGTTTATCTATAATGCTTTACCTGTATTTTTAAGCAAAAAAGGGAGTTTGTTTTCGAAATTTTTTTATTGCTTTTTATTTAGACACCTTTTATAAATATATATACGATGTCAAAACTTTGGCGACGCTATCGACTCCAAAATTTTAAAAAAATAATAGATGGCGCTTAATGAAATTACGGATTTTGGTTAAAATTTTGCTGCGAACTTATCAATAAACGGATATTTTCACTTTTTATACTAAAAATATTTTATAATATCTATTAAATATACTAAATAAATTGAGGGGCAGTGTGGGTAAATGCCCATTAGACACTTAATAATGTAATATATTTCCAATAATAAAATCTTTCGTATAATTTTTTTATTATTCATTCATATTAATAATATAGAAATATAGAAATAGAGATAGACAATCATATTCATTCCATAATTAAAAAATTTGTGAAATATTATATTTAATATTTGCGATTCTGTTGAATTAGAATAAAATTTTGTTTCAATTTTATCCTGAGAAATTGGATAAAAAGCATGAAATTTTTGCGTCCCTGGTATAGTACGGGCTTTGTCGAATCTCTCTTTTAAAATTATTTGTTCTTTCTCATATTCATCTTCCATAATATAGGAGATAAGTACCACTACTGCCAACAAATACACAATTCTCGGGACGAAGATCACAAAATTTAGAGAATCCAATTTTAATATTTGAATGAATATCTTTAAATTTAAGATATAGCTCTCGTAAATTAATTAAAATTAATCTTTTTTGGACTTGAATCTTTTCACTGTTCTTTATTATGGTTACAAAATCCCTTTTCCCAGGCATCGATCTACTATATTGATCATTGTTATAAAAAGATTTGACAATATCAACGGTGGCGGCATCTATTGTTTTGCCGGGTTTAGGATTAGGTGTTGAAAAAACCCCCTTTTCTTTTATTGAACCTTTAGATTTTATCGCCATATGATATGAAATATTGAATTCTTCTATAATTCTTCTTACTGTCCAATTTGATGGTAATAATGTTAATAATCTATATTTGTTTGTTATTGAAAGCTGTGGGAAATTGATTTTTAAGGTATCGAGAATTTCATCGAATTTTTCATCATTTGATGAAGATAATGGTATAATTTTAGTCGCTAAAACTTTTTTCACGCTAGATATTTTTTTCTTTGGATATTTCTTTCGTAAGTGTTTTATTTTAATGGGAGATTCCCCAATTGATTGTAGGGATATATTAATGTTTTCAATTGCCTCTTGATTAACTATATGAGGAGGAGAATCAATATCATTGTCATTATAAGGAAGCTTTGCTAATTTTTGTCGGCATGAAGAGCATATTAGCATATTTAAATTGATTGGTAAATTTTTTTTGGTCATCCAAGGTTGAATCTTTCTTAGATTCTTGCGATAATATGCATGTTTTTGTAAATTAAATGGGTTACAACATCTTGATATTTTAATATTTGGTATATCCATCTTTTATATAGAATAAAATTTTATTTAATTTGAACCTAGAATATGGCTTGTTTAAAATTAATCTGATCGGAAAAAAAAATTATATTAAACAGAAAGAGAGATTGTTTTAAACTTTTAATTTTTTAAAATATTATTATCGTAAAATATAATCGATAATATGTCTAATATAAATTCTTTTTTAATGCAGCTGTTATACATTATCGTGCCAAAAAGCCATTCGCTATTATAGTAGTAAAGCAGAGATCTAAAATATGTAAAAAAATTTAAGGATGGTGAAGGGG